ACAGGATGTATGAGCAGGGACGTTGTTGTGATGGAAGCTGCCAATCACCAGTTGACCATAGCTGCAGCCTTCTGAATCATCTGAGTAGTTTCCACAGAAGAATGTTCAAGTTTAACGCAAAATTTGATGTAGATTTGTTGCTCTACTTGCTCAGTCACTTTGAATGTGATGGCCACGCAGTACACATGCTCACTCAACAGCATCTACTGCCTGTACTAACTAGTACAGTGAAGCCATCATTGTTCATACATACACATTCTAGTCCACTCTCCTTGGCTGCCAGGTTACATCTACGTCACACAAACCATTCGTGTTATATTGGCAATGACTAGACTTTTATTGGACAGACCTTGTATAAGCAGCTGCTGACAGGATTGCAAAGAGAAATGGACAAATCCGGCATTACACTGGGGGATTTTAATACTCTTCTCTTCATAATTGATAGCTCATGGAGAAACATATTAGAAAAGATATATAATATTTGGACCAAAAAATTAAAAATCTTGACCTAATGAACACTCATAGAACTCAACACTTAAAAATTAGAAGATATACCAGTACATTCTTCCCAGGAACGTGGCGTATTTATGAAGAAAGAGGCCACAAAGCCAGTCTGTGCCAATTTTAAAGTCTGAATCAAATAGGCCATGTCTTTTTGCCACACTGCAAATAAATTAGAAATGAATAGTAAAAAGATATCTCAACAAACTCATACATTTAGAAATTAAAAAGGCACTTGTAAATAACTCATGGGTCAAAAAGTGATTGTAATGAAAATTTATAATTCAATGATATTGAAAGCACCATAGAGAAGAACGTATTGGAAATTTATTTGAAAAAAGAAAGATGGAAAATTAATGAGCTAAGCTTTCAACTTGAGAAGTTTGAAACAGAACCATAGAATGAACCCAAAAACACAGAAGAGAGGAAATAATAATTGAAGCAGAAATTAGTAAAATTGTAAATAAAATACAGTAGACTCAACAAAGTCAAAAGATGGTTCTTTAAAAAGACAAAATAGAAACAAAACTTCGGAAGAATGAATTAAGAAAAAATATTAATTATAAAATATGGCACATCTAAACATTAGAAACACTATATTATATACTATAATGTATATAGTATGTACTATATTAATAACAAAATACTATAGCCCTGGCCAGGTAGCTCATTTGTTACAGTGTTGTCTTGATATGCCAAGGTTGTGGGTTCGATCCCCATCAGGGCACATGCAATAATCAACCAATGAATGCATAAATAAGCAGAATAACAAATCAATGTTTCTCTGTCTCTTCCCCCCACCGCCTTCTGTTCCCTCTCTCTCTCCTTCTCTCCCTTCCTCTCTCTTTCTTTGATAAATGAATCAATCAGTAAATAAATAAGGAAAATACTATAACTGATTTTATGCCAGCCGTGAAGGTTCCAGAGATATGTGGCCCAGGCTCCCCCTCAAGGAAGGACTTGTTGCCTCAGTTGGGGGAGTACTGTGAGCCTCACCTACAGAAAGCCCCATCCTGCAAGAGTATGCCTTCTCCAGAGTGTATACATCCTGTGACTGATGTGGGTGGGGACAAAACGATTTAGCCATTTCTCCTACCTTGGAACAGCTCTGAGTATCTCATATATGCAGTGGTGTGCTTGTAAATGTTTAATACCTGGTACCTTGCGGGGAAAAACCTTGATTTGTAGTGTTTGCTGATTTCTGTGGTGTAAATATACTCCCAGGGGATGACTTCAAGCTCTCAAAGTGATACCACGAATGTGGAGTTGAAAAGAGATGCCCAACAGGACATTATCATGCACAGGGTGGGGCAAAAGTAGGTTTACAGTTGTGAGTATGCAAAACACATTTTATTTTTGCATTATTATTTATTAATTATTGTATTATCTTCCATATTAACAACTGTAATCCTACTTTTGCCCCATCCTGTAGTATTGCCACCACACAGATACGCTAGCTATAAATAAACTCGAGAGCATATATGAATGTAGCAAAGCAATGGAAGTGATTTATTAACTTTGTTTTTAATATATGTATATAAAATTATAAGTTTATATACTCTTCAATCATGGTAATACTTAACAACTGGCTCACAAAATGCCTAAAAATTGAAAAGCTGGCACTCCCAATCTGGTATAAGCAGGCTCCAGCACACAACTCTGCTTGTGCTCTAGAGCAACCAGGGGCTGGCTGGGGCTTTGATGGCTTGAATCACAATCTAGTTACTCCCTCTCTTCGATCCTGCTCTCTTTTCCTTCCCATAGGCACTGACCCTTAATAACATCCTGCTGTGTGGTAAACCAGATGGTTTAAATGTTTGTATTCCCCCATGTTCAGGTGTTGAAACCTAACCTCCAATGTGGTGGTAGGTACCGGGAGCAGGGGCCTTTGGGGAGATGATTAGGTCCTGAGGATGGAGCCCTCATGAATGGGATTGTGCCCCAGAGAACTCTCACCCTTCCTGTCCCGTGAGGTTGTAGGGACAGCTGTGTAGGAAGCTAGTATATAGGATAGTACAGGAGGGAGGAGGTTGGCATGTGGGTGAGGAAGGACTTTTGGTTGCCGTGCCAAGCTGACACCTGCGAGAGGTGAGGGAAGGGCTTGTCCTACCCCAGACTAAGAGAGCCTCGGCAGGGTGATGGGGAGTTCCGGAACAAATGCTGTCCATTAGAGGGGTCAGGCAGAAATGGCCCAGCTCTGGCACTCCCACCATGCTTAGCCATGGGCTGGGAACAGCTTGGTGGGGGTTGGGGGGTAGGGGGTGGGGATGTGTGACTTTGGTGTGAGCGTCATGGTAAATCCAAAGGTATGACTGCTGGAGATTGTCAGTTCTAGTCTTGTGAGTTGAGTGGCACGCCTCAGTGGCTGCCACAGAGACATGTGTCTCCACATTTTAAAGAGGCGTTGGGACCATTTTGTACCATTTGCTTTGTAAATGTTCTGCCGCTTTCCACCCAGATTTAAGGAAAGGGTAGAGGGATCAAGGAGGAGGTTGGCAGTGTGAATTAAAAGGTGCTGTGAGGAAGAAGAAGGAACACCCAGCCATATCATGCAAAGAAAGGGGTGCTTCTGGAGAACTCTTTGGGGAGCTTGGCATGTATCGTCTGGGGAACTACATGAGAACCTTCAAGGAGAGAGGCTGGACAGAGCTGCCTTTGACCAGAAAATGAAGAGGGTGTACTGCTGTGACAGCGATTGGCATGGACATGGTGGAAGGTAGCAGGGTCTGCCTGCCAGGGCATGGTGACTGTGAAGAGGGTCTGTGTGTGGCGGGCCACTGGAGGAGAAGTGGACCTGGAAGTGAGGACCAGTGGCTGGTTCAGGGAACGTTTCCCATGCTGCCACCCTGCCTTCACAGAGGTAGCTGGGAGTATATAGAAGAGAAAGAGGACTTTTCTCTTCCCCATGCAGGCTCTGAGCTTAGGTCAGGCTAGGAGCTGGCGGGGGCGGGAGCTGACCAGGGTGAATGCTGGGCGGGGAAGACTTCAGTGGAATGGGACTGACATTTTGATTTGGACTGGACTGGACTTAATACTGGAGAATCAGATTGCTGATTAACACCTGAAAGTGACAGGAAAAACTATGAAATCTGCCCTAGATTTCTTCCAGTGAAGAAAGGAGATCTGAGAATAATTTTAAAAGACAGTGCTTGGGAAAAAAATGTGCTGTTTCATGACTTCCCTTCACCAAGTAGTCCAGCTTGTTTAAAAAAATCAACTAGTATAAAATATTGCTTAACATGGTAGTTTGGAAAAAGATACCCTCCCCTTAAAAGCAACAGCACCTAACAATGCAAAGGACCAGCTTTCCCCTCCCCTCTCCCCCGCCTCCCCACCCTGCTTCATTTTTGTAGTGACAAATGTTTATTTCACTGCCTGGGAACTAGAGGCAGCAGAAGCTCTCTGAACTCGCTTGCCTTGTCAAACCTCCTAGGAGCACTGCTTAGGGGAGTGGAAAGGTCCTTCAGAGGTCATTAATACATGTATTAATCAGAGCAGTCAAGGTTCTCTAGAACCCCTCGAACCGTGTCAGGCACACTTGGCGCCTATTGAACACAGACATAAACCTGACTTTCGGAAGAAATAAATGCCTGCCTTTTCCGCAAACATTTCCAGAGATCAATTCTGGGCTCCTTGTGAATCCGGAATCTTCCCACCCTCGAAATTATTCCCACAGATGAACCCCAATTCCTTCTGCTACTCCTAATTCACGGCTGCTCCCTCTTCTGCCCTAAGAGGAAAACAGCAGCTACACTCCTCACATACCCCTGCACTGTAGCTTCTGCCTTCTGTTTTTCTCCTTCCTTCCCCCGGGGTCGAGGGGACGATCGGGAACCGCAGTGGCACAGCCGGGCCAGCCCCGCGTGGCGCCCACTGGCCCATCCTGAGCCAGAGCGGCCGGCGCGCGCACGGAGGCCCCGTGGACGGCAGAGGGCGCTGCGGATGCCGGCGGCGGGCCTGAGGGCCGCGGGGGCCGGTAGGAGGCGCCGGGGCCCCCGGGTGTGAGTCTCCTGGCGGCCGCGAGGGGCGCGCGCCGCTGTCACCCGCGCCACCGTCCCGCGGGGACCCGCTTGCGGCCCGGAGGCTGTCACCGCGGCCCTCACCTCACGGGCTGCTGGAGCTGCGCGGCGCGCTCCGTGATCCGGCTTCGGCGCAGCCCCGCATCTTCCCTTTGTCCGGGAAAGGCGGCCGGAAGGGCAGTGCAGCAGCGGTGGGCGAACAGCACCCAGGCGTCCAGTCGGCACCCCCGCGCGCATCCTCCGCCGCCTCTGCGCTGGAGCGGGGTGGCGTCCTGGGCGGGGCCTGAGGGCGCGGGGCGGGCGTGAGCCGGGGGCAGCTGTGGAGAGGCAGCCCCAGGTGCGGGGGCGTCCCTTACGCCTCCACCTGCGCCGCCTCCGTCGGCTTCTCTTGGCAACTTTATCGCCCCCCTTTGCGGACATCTCGGCTGGTCTGTGGAGTCCAGACCTGTCGTTAAATAGAAAACTCGAGCTGGACGAGGAGGCGGAGGAGGAGGGAGCGTGTTGGACCCCGGTCCAGGGTGAGAATCTCATTGAGGCAGAGGTGGCTCCTTGGACATTTTTCGTGGCTCTTCCCCACCCAGGTGAGCGCATCCTTCTTCTGCTCAGTCCGACAGGGCCGGGCTGGGCTCTGGTTCTGCCTCCTAGACACGGAGGGAAGACAGGTGCCGGAGTTGGGGAGCGACTGCAGCCGATTCTGGCAGCGCGGCGTCTATTTTGCTTTTCTGTCGCCGTGGTACTTATTCTGGCCTGCCACATCTCCTGCCGGGCCGAGGTTTGCAGCTCATTTGGCACCTTGCGTGCTGCCAGGTTAAACATCCTTCGTCTTGGAAAGGATGGTAGGTTAGTTACACCGAGTCACCGCCTTTCCCCAGCTTTGGATATATTCTTCCGTGTCTTTGCCTGAATTTAGTCTGAATGTGTTAGATCCGTTGGGCTTTATAATGGTAAAGCAACGAAGTAGGTTGCTACATCCATTTCCCCCCCCATTCGGAGGCTGTGCACAGAAGGAATTTCAGGAACACAAGTGATGTTACTACCAGTCTATTTTAAATACAAACATGGAAAGAAGTGCTCTTGGCAGAATACCAAAGGAGCCTGTACTCTCTGTTATGTAAGGACTTTAAAAAAAATATTCGCTCATTGGTAAAGTTATAGACGTGATTATCAGACATTTGAGAGGTTGAATATAAGTGAGAACCCTCATTTTTGCTCTAAAGCAAAACTTTACTTGAGGATAAGAAGGGTCTTAGCTTGAGATACCCTTTAAGACAACATAGGGCAGTTGCTTTGAACTAATCAGGTGGCATTGCATAACATTAAACAACAAAATAGGTTTTGTAAAGGCTATTAAGAAAGTGGGTGAAAATTCTTTGATTATGGTAGTAATAAAAAGGATCCCACAGATATCCTTTGTGGCTTTCAAATTATAGAATGATTTTATTTTTATATCTGATGGAAACAGTATTATGAGCTGCCAGTATTAAAGATCTCCCCTGCAAAAAAACCCCCTCCTCTCATAATTGTGGTTATTTTTTTTTCAGGTAACAAGGAAAAGTAGAAAGCATAAGATATACTAATGTCTAGGCACCTTCTTTTGTGTCCCACCCCAGTATTTCGTTCTAGTTGGTTTTGGGTGATGCTGTGGCATTTGTAATGTGAAAAGCTCTGTTGGTGATTCTAATGTGAGGTCAGGGACCCACTGGACAGCACTGTGCTTTAAAATTTGTTACTTTGTAGCTCCAGGTGTGGTTCCAGTGGTTTTAGATAAGTAAAGAATAAGTGGTTAGAAATGCCAGAGAGAAAGCTGGTATTAGAAAGGAGATGTGTTGAAGAATTATAGCATGTGCACTTTTGTATTTTGTCTAAGTATCTTTCTTGATATTTTTAAACTTGCAAAGAATAGTTGATGTTTATTAGGGACCCATAATTTCAGGTAGAATACATCCTAAGTGCAGAGGTGACAGGGAAGTTGAGTAGCAGTGTCAAGAGGTTCCTTTATGGTTACATGAAAAGATAAGCAAGTCTCATTAAAGGCTAGTAAATTAAGTGCAAAACACTTCGATTGTTTTTGAGGTGGAAAATAAACCTGACTGCTGCCTCGGTGTTTTCCAGGTACCTTATGTAATTCCACGTACCCGATCTGGGAGCAGATCTTATGGATGGTATATGAAGGTTTATGTAAGAACTCCCAACTATGCTTTTTGCATGCACTCCATTAAACTCTCTGTTTTGGCAATTACGTAATTGACACAATACTAGATTGTGAAAGCCCAGATTGTGGGGGGTGGGGGGGGCGGAGGAAGGCACAACCCCAGCGCAGCCTACGCATTTTATAATGAATTGCTGCCCTCAAATTAGAGGAAACAGCAGGGATGGAGGTTTGTGAAAGAGAGATAAGAATAGTATCTAGAGGACTGATGTAATGTAAGACTGTTATGCTTAGCGGGTTTCTACAGATTTTAATGCTGCCGTATAAACCTCTCTAGTTTTTTATATCTCCCAGCAGAGGCAAATTGACTGGAAGCTAATGAATCTTAAGCTTTAGGGCTCTTTACCCAGACTACTTCCAAGCCCCTCGGAGGCCACTAGCCATGTGTCCATGTGGTCACACCTAAGTTTGTATCTGTAATTTTGTTTTTTTTTTAAATGAAGACACTCTCCCCACCTGCCCACCTCCCATTATATAAATATAAGCCTCCTGGAACCCTCAATCAGGTCTTCAAAGTACATTCAAATGTTAACTTATAAAAATGCTTTTTGTTATTTTAATGCCTGTAGTCTTATGGAAAGACAAAAATAAATTGGGCCAATATTGTATCTGACCTGCTGAGAAAATGCAGATTGCTCTCACCCAGGGCTGTGTGGAGCTACTGAGATCAGGTATTTACCTGGAGAACCAACTCTGCAGAAACAAGACTTTTCTGATTTGAGAGTAAGCTGGAGGCAGAGAGCTGAGCCAGGAATGAGGAAGGGAGGAAAAAACCATTCTGCATCACAGAGGTGGGCTGCCAAGGGAAGAGGAAGAGAAAATTACCCAAAGATGCTTCATTAGTGAAAAGGTAACACTGATAGGTAGCATCAGCTCCATAGGAGGTTTTTTAAATTTATTTTTTATTTTTTATTTTTTTGTAATCTCCTTAGTATCTGTCTCTAATATGAATTTTAAACAGTGAGCAAACTCAGGTCCGGAAAATATCCACGCAGGAAACAAATGCATGTTGGGAAGGTCTAGGATGAACAATGGACTTGTTCCCATTAGCAGCTTTTATGAGTAAATGGGAGCTGTATTATGTTAACCACAGGCATGTCTGAGGGAGTTATTGAAGAAGGGAGGATTTTCCCTTTTTCTTTGAAATGGTTTCTACGTACATCTGAATTTGGATGTCTTCAGATCTTATCATTTTGACCCCTTTCCCACCAACACTTACACCCCATCCATCCACCCACCCACCCACCCATACACAGAGACTCTCTCCCGGATCAAATTTTAGTCAGGTTCCTATGAGCCCTTTTCTTGACTGGACCTGAACCTTGGCCTATTCCAGTCTCCTCCACCCCAACACTAAGAGACTTGAAAAAACTCCAACATGGCTTCTGGCAGCCTGAGGCCTTGTCCCTAAAATGACCCAGGCCCCCTTGAGTTCCTGTTTGGAAAATCTCAAAGCTGCCAAAATTTACTCTTTGTTCAAGCCAACTCCTGATGATAGGAACTTCCCTGTCCTTTTATTAAGCATTTATTAGAAAACCTTTGAATTATAATCCTCTCTCTGCCCCTTTGAAACGTGTGTGTGTCTTCTATAACCCACGAATGTCTTTCTCAAGGACCCCACAGCCATTCTTTTGAAATGCAATCATTAGGAAGGAAAGGGCCTGTCTCCTGATCTCTGTGGGAGACTAGGAGCCTAACTGAAACAAGTGACAGCTAGCAGACACAGATGGCCTAATTGCATTGACACTGACTAGCCACCCTGTCTGTTGGAATTTTCCATTTCCTTGACTCTGCTTTTAGCATCACTTGTCCCCTCCTTATTCCCTCATTCTTTCTTTTAAGATGCTCATTTGCATCTACAATGGATTGAAGTTGAGCTCAGTTCTGTACTTTAGTTTCTTTCCCCTATTGCAGTAAATACTGCATACCATCCATCTTACTGCCTTCAGTTAGTATCCAGTTTTGTTGTTGTTATTATTATTATTATTATTATTATTATTATTTTTAAACCTCGCCCAATGCTGAGAGGAAGAGGGGGGACAGAGAGAGAGAGAAAAAATCAACATGAGAGAGAAACATGTATCACTTGTCTCCCATAGGCACCCCGAACAGGGATGGAACCCACAACCTAGGTAGGTGCCCTGACCAGGAATCAAACCTGCGACTGTTTGGTGCACAGGATGACACTCCAAACAATCAAGCTGCCCATCTAGGGCCAGCTAATTTTTTAAGAACATCCAACAAATACTTTTGAATGTGTGTGCCAGGCACTGCTCTAGACATAAGATATTACAGAGCAGTGAACAAAACAGACAAAAGCTGTGCCTGAGGAACTTACAGTGTAATGGATAAACTGAAGTATTTAATATACCAGGTAGGGATGGTGCTATGGAGAAAAGTAAATCAGAGGGGGTGTGGAAATGAGTGCAGGGCCGAGAACTGCTGTGTCAAATAGGGTGCTCAGGGAAGGCCTCCCTGAGAGAGGATGCTGAGCAGAGCCCTGGAGGGAGCTACCAGGGAGCCTACGGATTCCTAGGGAAGAGCTTTGCACTCACTGGGGACAGCTTGTGCAGGGTATTTCAGACAGACCAGAAATCGCTGGCACTTAAGAAGAGAGCAGGGAGGTCTGGTGCTGCAGGCAGTTGTGGGGGATTTGCATGCTAATGGCCAGTGCTTTCCACAACAGCCCACCCCTGTAATTCTCTTGGGTGGTTTCCTGGGTCTGCCCTTGGATCCTGCTCTCCAGCAACCTGAGGCCTTGTCAGCGAATGCATGGTGGTTCTGCTCTTGGGGCCCTGGGCAGCCTTATGTTGCTCCTTGGTACCAGGTAAAACTGAGGGCCTCTCAGGGAGCCTGGAATTCAGTCTAGACCATTACATTAACTAGGAGTAAGGAGGAGGTTGTGTGCCTTCACAGATGATTCCCCTTGGCTTTTAGGAAAGGGGCCACCGGGAAAATTCCATTTCAGCTTGGATTCCCTGAGGTCCCCTAGGAACAAATAGAAATGGATGAATAAAGGATATTGACAGCAGAACCACCTACTCTTCCTTGGGAAATGTCAAAATGTTGAGAACTTAGAGCAACCTCTTAGGTGAAATTAAAGCAGAGAGAACCCATGGCCTGAAGGGATTTGGAGTTAGTTAGGATTTGAGGAGGGGAAATTGCTCATTGGCTCCTGTATGCCCAGATTTCTCCCCTACATCTAACAACCAGACAACATACATGTGAACCTGGCAGCAGGCTCTCATGGATCCGTCAGGGGAAAGGTGAGAAGCCAGTGGGAGCAGTAGCCAGGATCTGTCTGCTGGTAGAAAGGCCTAGACTTCTGTGCTGTTTGGGGCCCGACGTGTGGGATAGGATGGATAGCTGTTC